TCTCTCTCTCTCTTTCTCTCTAAAACAACTATCTAATTTGTAAACACATTTTGTCCCGAATAACAAAAAAGTAAGAGTCGGAAATTCATTGTCAGATTACGTTGAGCGTTTTTTATTTTTAAGCGGAATGTAAAGATTTGTTCGTGAAGCTCTTTCATAGCACGAGATAGAGAAAAATATCGGACTTAATCGCAGTCAATTTCGATTTATCATCATTAGTTATCGTCGTTATTTTAGCGAATGGCGGAATTAAATTCAACGAGTACTTTTCGAAAGGGTCAAGTTATTGATTGACATTAACTTCCTCTCGAAGGTATTCCGTTCCCACTTCCCGATTTAGCTTTGATCCACAATCAATCCACTCACTCGTCAATTATACGTGATAACCATTCACTCGGTACGATAGGCTGTTCCATTCGTTATCGTTAGCTAAACAAGTAGATTGACAAAGTGTCCTATTATGTCGTATTCTCTAGATATGTAGGAGAAAGCACGATGAATATATATATATATATATATCATATATATATTTAATATATAATATATATATAAGCCTATATCGCTTATAAACTGAGGATGCCCGTATCATGTAATTCGAGTACTTTTATGTAGTATAATCTTGACTCGTTCGTCGAAACGCAAATAATATACAAGCGAGAATCGATACAAAATACCTGCGTACTAAACGTGGAATTGACGAGACGCGAATATTAACAAACAGAGGAAACAGAAATATTTTCGCAAATTCTTCGCAAATTCTTCAAGAATTCTTCGAATATATCGATGGAATTTATCGAACTCAAAAGAAGTAATCTTACTTTATATGTTGCTCCTCGTAATGAATTAATCTCCGTAATAGTACTAGCTTTAATCTTCTCTCAAATCCTTCTCGGCTAAAGGTCGATGATTAACTAAATAAAACTTTGTATCTTCTCACGCGCACGTAGCACCATCCCCACTCCGGTATTCAGTAACCTCGTTCAATAGATTCGTAAACAAACAATGTTTACGTTTAAGATCGTCTGTGTATTTATAAAATGTGTTTACGAAATCCTATTCTCTGTATCAAGAGAATAAATTCCATGTTTTATTTATTATTTAAAATATCCGAATTGGTTGAGACACACATCTACATTTCATTATTTACATTAAATTTTTATCTTTGAACACGATGCCAAAAAAAGAGCTCGTCGTCTAAGAAAACGAACCGAGATTTATTATAGTATTTATTTTCATTTTCGGAAGAGAAATTTTATGGCCTCCAAAATATCTCGGTAATTTTATTGAAGAGAAATTACAGTCTTCTTGTCGATATCTTACAAACTTCGTGAACTTCCACCAGCGTTCAACGACGATGCAACACCCCTCGTATTTTTTTCGAGACTGGAAAATCAGCCGGTATAAAAGCTCGCTATATAATATAAATATCACATAACGCTTTGGTAGGATTTCTCAATTTACGCAAATGAAACCATTTACCGCGCAAAAGCCGTTAGAAAAGTTAAGTCAATCTTCTTTTTACATCGCAGCCTCGTTTGCCACAATACGTACGATATTGCCACTTAACCGCCGGGGATATTGTCAATAAAAATCCGAAACGTTTCTCCACTGAAAAAGCAGAAGGTCGGGAATATTTGATTATAAGAAACAGTTGCAATGCGCGGTCGACCAACTACTTGGCATAAAGGAAAATCGATATTTGTTGGCGTATATGTATACATATAAATGAAAATACCAAATAACTTTGCCGTGTTTCAGACGACGAGTGGATGCGCGACTTTTTATCGCCGGTTATAAAAATAACTTTATTAAGGGCTTCCGGAATGATTTACGCCGGAACTTAAAAGATACGCGGCAACACGTTCCGAAATTACTTAAACCATTTGTTACTTACGGTGATTCGTTCGCACGTGAATTGAGAGAAGCGGGAAATAAATGACTGAGAAATTTCGATGCGGAGGAACGTAATCACGTTGTAACGTAATCACATATTTCCTCAACGCGACGTTAATTTGAAAACGGCGTTGTTGATTTTCGCAAAGAGCTACTACAGAAGGGCAACTAACTTTCTAATATGTATCGTCTTACACATTAAGTATGCAGCCGTGTAACCGTCCTTCGGAGACTCTAGGAACGTCTCCATACACGCGGCTTAAAGGTTGGCACTTTAAGTGACACACGAGTGCCATCAGTTGTTAGCTCGGGGAAGAAGCTAGGAGAGGAAGCTCTTCCCTTAAGTGAAGCTCGCGAGATCAAAGTTTACGTCGCGCCCTCCTTCAAGAAACGCGGGATGACAAAAATCCCGGAATTTCCTGCGCGTCGTAACGGCTTCCGGCTTGCATTCCAACTTCCTGTATCGTGTATCTTCGATAATCCTCGCGAATGAAAGACGCTCTTGAAATTTTTCGTTACTCTTGCATCAAAGTTTATTAATTTAATTATTCACATATTCTGTTTAAAAACCTTTCCTCTTCAAAAAATAAAAAAAAAATAAATAAATATTTTTCTACAATATTTTTTTTAAAGTTTGTTATATGTTTTCAAAAGCTTTAAGAGTGACGCATGCTCGCTTATGATAAAATTTGTAAAATACTTTTAATCTTCACTGATTAAATTATTGTACTTTATTTTTCTACGTCCATACCACCATTTAATAAAGCCGCAGCTTTCTAGAATGTTTCTGCATAATTACATATGCCCTGCGGATCGGTGCACTGAAAGTTTTTTAAGAATTTCGTAACAGAAACGTTACCCCATATGCGAAGAATTTCGTCTTGACCTAGACAGTGTCGAGAATGCGACGGACTACTTTTATCTTTGACACAGTTTTTCCGCGAACGGTCACCGCCACTTGAGTTCTAGACTGATGGAACGTTCTCTGCACTAGACATACATTATATTACTATAGCAAGAAAGTTTATTAAGTTTGTAAAAAAGATTTTAGAGAGAAAAAAGAGAGTCGGCGAAATTTTACGTTTTCTTTGGCATACCAGACTTATGCTAAGTATAATATGAGATAAATCATCAATTATAATGCACGAAATTCTCTATCGCGGTTTTTGAAGCAAATGTAGTCTCGAAGAAGTGCCGTTTCCAACGAGTCACGCCATAAATTATATTTTACGCGAATGCGCTTTATCAGTCCGTAATTAGGGTGAACTTACAAAAAACTAGTCGCTGGACGCGGAATTCTGATCTGTCACAGCCGGTTCTCGGGTTTCTCGGGGAAAGATTAACAAAAAACCAACTCGCTTCCTCGTTCGTAATTCAACGATTACGTATGCGCCAAGGATAAATGTCCGTCAAGAAATATTCCTGCGCGCTACTCGTCGCCGCGCGTTTCGCAAAAATCGGTCCTTTCTTCTCTTCTTTTTCACCAGGAAGACGAAGCGCCGTGGGACCGTGTCGCGACTTTTATTTCAACGAGCTTCGGCCATAAGAAGCATATCGCTCTTTCCTCTCGCGCGGTGTACCATAAATTATGGTCCCAGCCATCGAGTGTCATCCATCCTGACCAAAGTGACAAGCTAGCATCTCGTCGTGTGCTTGTATACATCGGATATCGTTAGTGAACGGATACGTTGCGAAGAAAATCATGTTTGCAAGAAAATCGCTGAACATCGTGAAAATCGTCGTATTATGGTTCACTGATGTTCTCCGACTGAATTTTTGAATACTTTTCAAAGGATTAAATAATGTTTTTTTTATATGTTAATTTTAATAAATAATTATCTTTTATAGCCTTAAAATTTTTTCTTTTTTTTTTCGATTAGATTAACATATCAAAATAATTTTTTTCACTTTCTTTCTTGTACGTAATTATATTTTGATCCGTGCCTTCTGCCGAATAAATTTTTCCTTAATTTTAATTATGATTTGGATAAAGTTAATTTTTTGGCAACTTTGATCGTATATAAAAATTTTGGATTAGTCGGGGAATAAAAATAAAGCCACTTTAATATGTTTTACGTTATATTTATAGATTTCTTCGAAAGCCTATCTTTTCTTTTTAATGATCGTCGAGTTGAAAATTTTCTATATCCGACTCGATGTAGGTCGTGCTTATCCGTGCGCGACAAAAATCATATCTCCGATGTAGCGGATGGAGGAGCAAAACCGTGAAAGGCTTCGTCGTGATCTCTACTTCCATCGCCTTCTTCCCATCGCGTATTCATTCGCGCGGTTGTTCCCCTCGGGATTTCGAGTAAGGAGAGCAACCTCCGCATGTACATGTCCTCGCGACTAAGAAGATCTTCTTTTCCAAAATCTCCGCACTGTTTTACACGGCGCGGAAAAGAGGGAAAACATAATCTGAAATTTTTATCTCTTACACCCGTTTATCGCGCGCGCGTTGTTACGAAAATTTCTGCAAATTATAACAAAGTAGCGGATACAATGTTTCGATGGAAAACATAGCTTCCGGTTACGTCGCTTTTTTCCGACATGTTTACTTATTAGGTGTACCTCTTAGCGTTATTCATCGTGAAATAGAAAATATCCAAGTCGGCGATTTTTTCTTACGCGCATTGCAAAAAGACAAAGATACACGCGAACCGCAATGTAGTATTTCGATTACACTATGTATAGGCAATCTCTTGCGAGAATGCAAGTACGCCTACACATGCGATAGCATTCAATCTCCTTACTCGATTAAAAGCAGCTTGACCAGATTCCAATTTCCCACAATATAACCATTGCATTCTGCATGCACCGACGTGTACACGTTGCGCGTTTCAAACGTAATCTATTTATGACAAGCCGAGATGAGTGGGAAACGCATTTACTGAAAGCATTGAGAGATAGTGGATATAAAAGCGTTATATAATTGCGCATATTATGATATTAGATACGCGTCCCGTCGCGGTACGTAATAAATATCAGGGAAATAAATTTTGCGACTTTATTTTATATTCCCGCGGAGCAAGATATAAATTATTCGCATTTTCATCTTCTTATCGTTACATTTAATATGTAGGACAATTATATAAATAAAACGTGTACGTATAAGATATTATTATAAAAATATGCATTTTGCTAAGAGGAAATTAAAGCATGTAGCTTCGTTGGGCATTTTTCGGTATGCAAAAAGAGGATATGAAAACAGCGAGACACGCTACTATTATTAACGCTGCCTTAGATCAGAGGAACGAAAAATCGAGAATGCAGCAAAGATTTAATTCGCAAAGTCCTGTCTGCCAAGCGCTTCTCAAAGAAGCCGCTTTACGCGATAACGCAGTAACATAGCTATAACCTCGTCGTGAGACGAAATAAAACAATATTTCCCCGCCGACGATTTCGCAATCGTCGCCATTCGAGTGTGCCGGCCGCGACGTTTTTTGGCGAGGAAATATTTCCATGTGCCGCGGTGGCTTAAAAGGCTTTGCCTTAAGTGGCACACGGAGCACCTTCGCCGTTAGCCCCGTCGCCTAAGAGGAGCTCCCGAGTTTGCGCAAGAAAGTTTATGTCATGCTTGCCTCTCCGAAAGGAGGACGCTTTAAAACCGCGCCGCCGCACATACGGCCGAAGCGGGACCAGGTGAAAGAGGAATAGCCGAGCTTTTACCTCGGAATGACAAACGTTAAGTTTTGTGGTTATTCGCGCTATATACGATCCTACCGAGTTTCCGTTATAGTCTTCCGTTATAGCCTTCGACTTAACGGAGCCCAACAGATCCCGACCACCCCGGGCTCCCTATCCCCCTTAAATCCGCCGTTAGCGAGAATGCGCGCGTGCGTGTCGTAAAGGAGAGAACGACTCGTACACACGATGATACCGATGAGGCCATGTAATTTCATTTCATCGTCGTCGTTTGCGCCCCGCGATGCTGAAAACGGCGTTCGGCCAAGCGGGAAACTGTCACCCGCGGGAACGAAGAAAACAGCCACATGTTCAGAAGTGTGGTTCGCTTCATTCGGCGAACAACGAAAATGAATTCCCTCGCTAGGCGCAGTTGCGTAACTACTAGCGT